TTAATTTAATTAATAGATAGTGTATGATAGGGTAGAGCAGGGTATGGAGGGTGGGATGAGGCGCAGCTGAGGTGCTGCCCGGGCCTGTAGGGTCATCCCGGCGATGGCGATCTCCCCGCTGGCTGTTCCGTGTGCGGTGCCCCCTCAGGCCCTCAGCCGAGCCAGCCCAGCTCCTGCTGCTCCTCCTCATTCCCTGACCCTCAGACATTTCATCCGGAAATCCCTGCAGGATCACTGCCCCAGGTGGTGGGGAAGGCGGGCTTTTAAAGAGATTCAAGCTTAAACTGCACCAGCCTGTTCTAATGTGAGTCAGTTTTGAGTGGAGAGTGGGACCAAGGCTTGCAGGTGTGAAAAATGCGTGTATTTTATGATTGGCTTATAGCAAATATTCAAATGAATATTATATGGATTGTGTTAGAAAGTAATGCTGTATTAATTCTCTTAAGTAGTGTGGTAAATAGAGTTTTAGGTTATAACAAAATGTTAAAATAGAAACGATGCTGTGTAGCATACTTTTTTAAAAGAAAGGACTCACAGTGAGATAGCAGCCACAGGACACCCAAATCTTTCAGAGAGAAAGAATTTATTGCCCTCTTGTCAGAAGAAACGAATTTCTTCCCACCTCAAAGGCGCTGTCAGGATTCAGAGGCAGAACGTGACACTGCCCAGACAGAATCCTGTGTTTGAATGGAATTTATGCATCATAGATGAGGTGTATGAATATGCAACAGGCTGTTACTTTTGAGGGTTAATCCTCTGTTAACGTGGGGTCTTTTTTGGGCTTATTTTGCCCAGAAAAAGGTACCCGGACATTCATAACTCTTTGTTTCTATTGTCTCATATTGTCCTAATTCAGATTGTCCAAATTATCATTACTCTAATTGTATTGCTATTTTTATAACCATTTTATTACTATTAAACTTTTAAAATTTTAAAAACAAGTGATTGGCGTTTTTCACACAGGGATCCCTTCCAGCCTAAGTGATTCCACGATCTTGGCAAAACAAAAGTGTGTCCCTGTGCTTGATACATGGATCTGGATTGTATCTGCTTGATACAGTCTGTGTCACATGAATCTCCCTTATTTATTTCCATGATTCCTGACTCAGGGTCTTGTTTCTGATTTACAGAATCACAGGATGTTCTGAGCTGGAAGGGACCCACAAGGATCATCAAGTCCAGCTCTGGAGTGAATGGCCCATTCCAGGACTGGCCCCACAACCTGGCTGTTTTTAGCACCAGGCTCTGACCTGCTGAGCTCATCTCAGGGTTCTGTGTCAGTATTAAAGTTATTTAAGCATTCTGCAGTGTTTGAGTGGAGTTAGTAAAGTGGGCAGTGGAATAGGATGATGCTAAAGTTGGGAAAACTGCTTTGTGGTGATTTCAGAAGCAGCAGCAGGGTCAGCCTGTCAGGACACCAAGCAGTGCTTCCAGCATTCCTTCTGAGTGAAAAACCCCCTGCAGGCCAACCTCAGCTTGAGATTCTCCCCCAGGTTTAGAGTTCCTGGCTGGAGCTGTCCCAGCTGCAGCTGTGGCTGCCCCTGGATCCCTGGAAGTGTCCAAGGCTGGGTTGGAGGGGGCTTGGAGCAGCCTGGGATAGTGGGAGCTGTCCCTGCCATGGCAGGGGGTGGAACAGAGGCTTTGAGAAGGCTGACCTAGAATAGAGCTAAAGAATAAAGTAGGGATTTATTAAAAGGATCTCCTCCATGGATCCACCTTGGGCAGCACAAGAGCCCAGCCAGGGCTGCATCAAAAATGAACCAAAATGGGCACAAAATGGACATAGGGTCTCTCACTTTTATAAGTTGTACTCCATTTGCATATTGGAGTAAATTGTCCAGTTACAGCTTTAGCCCATCCAGTCCCATCCTGCTTGTTTTTCTCTCTTCAGTTCACCATTGTTTGTGCTCATTTGGATCACTTGTCCTTGGTCCCCAGCTGGAGCAGGAATTGTTTTATTTAGCTATTCTGTGCAGAGAGCTCACCATCCCTTAATGTGAAGCTCAGAGGTGCAACCTAAAGCAGCACAGAGTCTGAAAAACACAAAATCTAAAACCTGAGGCACCAGAATGAGACAGGCTTTGAGTCTCTGTCCCAAACCATACCAGGAGCATCCCTGCTTGGTTTGCTTCCTCCTCCTTCCCCAGCCAAACATCTCCACATTCCAGAAGCATCTCCCTGCTGGGGCTGTTTTCCCTGGTGGGTCTGTTTCCCCTGCAGCAGTGTGATGACCCCTGTGGTTTCCATGTCCCCAGGGCTGGTGGCAGGAGGTGGCAGCATGAGCGAGTTCCGCATCCACCACGACGTGAACGAGCTGCTGAGCCTGCTGCGTGTGCACGGCGGTGAGGGCGCCGAGGTCTACATCGAGCTGCTGCAGAAGAACCGCACGCCCTACGTCACCACCAACGTCTCTGCCCACAGTGCCAAGGTCGTGCCACCCTCTGATGGAATAGCAGCTCGTCCTCTTGGTGTTCAGCAAGGGAAAATGGGAAAAGGAGGGAATGGTTGGGTCCGGGGTGGCGAAAAGGTGGAGTGGTTGAGGGAGAGGAGGAATGTTAGGACTGGGGTGTGGGGAAGTTCAAAGGAGGAGGTTGTTTTGTGGGATATTAGGAGGGAGTGTTCCC